GGTTTGGGATGCCCTGGATTATCATGGAGCCAGCTGATGGTGAATTGCCCAGTTTGGGAAGGCCTAGAATTGCATGGAGCTAATGGTGAATACCACGGTTTTGGAGGCCCTAGAATATCATGGAGCCGATGGTGAATCCCACGGTTTGGGATGTCCCGGAATATTATGGAGCCAGCTGATGGTGAACTCCACGGTTTGGGAGGTCCTGGAATATCATGCAGCCGATGGTGAAATCCACGGTTTTTGAGGTCCTGGAATATCATGTAGCCGATGGTGAAATCCACCACGCCGATGGTGAAATCCACGGTTTTGGAGGTCCTGGAATATCATGTAGCCGATGGTGAAATCCACCACGTCCATGGTGAATTCCACGGTTTTGGAGGTCCTGGAATATCATGGATCCGATGGTGAATCCCACGGTTTTGGAGGTCCTAGAATATCATGGATCCGATGATGAATTCCACGGTTTTGGAGGTCCTGGAATATCATGTAGCTGATGGTGAAATCCACCTCATCTCATTGTCATCGTCATTGTCTTAATCGTGGACTTCTACCCTCAATATTACAGATATGCTTATTCATGCTTTATAGCGTTATTGTATAATGTGCTCTATTTTATTGGTGTCTAATGAAGACACCAGTAACTTCATGAAGCTACGACGAACCAGATCGTGGCCGTGGTTTCCCCTACTCTCTATTTCTCAGATGGCCCCCTGTACTTTACCAACCACGGATTTGCCTCATTTGAGAGCCTTGCTGCTCCCTGGCCAAGTCGATCAAAGTACTTTTGAACTCCACCACACCTCCCCCCCCCCGCAACTACGTTGACTCACACAGAGATGATGGTCTCAGCCCAGCCACCATTAGCAATATCATCTTCCTCTTCTTCTTGTCGTACGGCTGCTGATGTAGACGCAGAGACAACAGCTGACGGTGTCACATTCAGGTGGTCGAGCCAGACAACCGCGTCAGCAGGAGCAGAGTAGCAGCACAGTGCATCATCGTCGCCGTGACGTCTCCTTCATCGTACACTTTAACCAGGGGGCATTGGGTCGTTACACGTCGTACGGTGCTGTTGTGGATGGACGCAGCCGCCAAGACACTACCGGAGAGTTTTTTTTTGTTTATATTTTCCATTCCCGCGTCACCAGGGTATCCACATCTAACTCTTTGGTTCTTTCGGAAAAGTCACGTAGAAATAAGATAAAAAAATAATAAATCACGACGTTTCGATTGCGACACAAGCAACCGTCATCAGGTGTGAATGAATGCAAGCTCGGAGAGAGACACAGAGAGAGAGAGAGAGAAACACAGACACGGAGAGAGACACATACACAGAGAGAGAGAGACTGAGAGAGAGAGACACGCAGAGAGAGACAAACACAGAGAGAAAGAGAGAAAGGCATACACACAGAGAGAGACACACAGAGAGAGAAAGACATACAGAGAGAGAGACACACACACAGAGAGAGAAAGAAAGACACATACACAGAGAGAGAGACACGCAGAGAGAGAGAGACACAGAGAGAGAGAGAGAGACACGCAGAGAGAGAGAGAGACAAACACAGACACGTAGAGAGACACATACACAGAGAGAGAGACACACACAGAGAGAGAAAGACATACAGAGAGAGACACACACAGAGAGAGAAAGACATACACAGAGAGAAAGAGAGACACAGAGAGAGAGAGAAAGACATACACAGAGAGTGAGACACAGAGAGAGAGAGAGAGGCAAACAGTCACGAAAGCTTCAAATCTAAATTATATACACTTGCTTTTTTCCTTCTACTTTGGCTAGTTCCGGGTTCTACGCAAAATCTTTTGCAGGCCACGTAAAACGTTGAGTCTTTGCACGCATACGAAAGTCCACGTGAATGACAGCGATCGTGATTTCAACTTGTAACGCGACACCGCACGGTATTAATCGGCATCCTTCTCTCAGAGGCTCGAGGACAGCAGCCGCAGCAGCCGCAGCCGCGTGGTTTCGCTGGTTGGTGCCAAGAATTGCCCAAAACTCAGCAGTCCTCTAATATATTAGCATGCTGTTGGGGCCCAATGAATGGGCAGCTCGCATGTGGGAGGAAACCGGAGCACCTGGATCCAAACGGACGGAGCAGGTGGAGTACTGCTTACGAACGAGTCAGGTTCCGGAGTCAGGTTCGTAAGTCGATTTGTTTCGTGAGTCCAACTTTACTCCCGTCAAATTCTGAACGTGTTTCACGGCATGTGCACTAAACACGGGGAATTGCGTTTAAAAAAAGTTCCATAATCTCCCGCAGATGTAGATGCCACTCGCATCTCCACGTTCTGCAGATGTAGATGCCATCTACTGCGCGGCCGTTGAACTTGCGACTCTCGTCCGATCAGGCAACTGGACATACGGACAGGTTTGTTCGTATCTCTGAAAGTTCGTAAGTTGATTATTCGTAAGTAGAGGCGTCTATGTACGCTTTTTTCCGTAACCTTCTTCCGGTGCACCAGGGTTATGTCACCTTTTTAATGCCGACGAGGGAAGGCGAACTTCACACAGCATTTGTGCTGCGGTGATCCAGAAAACCCTTGCTGCTGCTGCCTGCCACACAGTGCTGGATTGCAGGCGGCCACGTGCATAGCCACCACCACCGCCCGGCTTCTTCTGAAGGGGCATGAGAAGACGTTATATGACGTCATCTTCTGGGGGCACTTTCTGAAACACAACGTGGTGTATTTCTAGCTTGTGAGCGTTGGAAGGGGAAATCTTTCTTGACTCCGTTGACGTGATGCCGATTGGAATACACTTTGGAAAAAGAAGACTAAGAGAGAGAGAGAGCGAGAGAGAGAGAGAGGGAAACGACAATTGCTGTTGGGCCGGTAATTAACATGGACATGTGGCTTCACTTCCCCCACTTGCCAGCGAATGAGCTCAGCGATGTCATCGCCTCTTAAGCCCACGCTCGCCTTTCGGATTTCTGAGCCTCGCCGGAAGCCAGCGTCGACTTCTTTGCCTTGCCTTCCCCCGTCAACACAAAGCGAGGAAGTTGACGCGCAAACGGTGAAGGGTGGTGGTGGGTGGGGGGGGGGTGGGGAGCTTCTCAGGATTGGCGCTTCAGGGGATTCTGTGGTGGGCGAAGCGGGACGTTTGGTGGTGCAGGCTTGTTTGCTTGGCTTTTCCACAGGGTGCATCCGATCCTCGCGCACGTATGTACGCGTGTACGCTGAACCTTCTCTCGAACCCGTACGTACGTAGCCAACCGCGCTACTCGGGCGTGCAGGGAGGCGGTGGGACGATAACGAGCTGAGCGCAAAGAGAAGTTATGAAGAAGTGATATTTTTAATCTCGACGATATAAAAGTGCATTCCTAATACCAAAAAGGGAGAGCGTTCCAGACGGCCGCAGAAGCGCATCTGAAAGCGCGCCATGCGGCGACGGTCCTTGTTCGACGGGTTGGCCAAAAGCCCTCTGCCGCAAGGATGACCCGGAGTTTGCGTGATGGAGTGACGAATGTCTGGGTCCACCCGCCGAGACCAGGATGCGAACTCGCGAACCTTACAATCGCGAGCCCCGCTCCCTCTGCCGCTGAGACAGCTGGCCCGGGTCAGTTATTGGTAATGGGGACTATTGCAGTCCCTGCTCTTTTTGGTTCTTTCGGTGAAGTCACGTAGAAAGGGAAAATTACGTGACCTTTACCGAAATAAACAAAAGAGGAATTCCTGCAGTCACAAAAGCTCCAAATCAAGTTTCGATTTAAAGCTTTCGTGACTGCAAGGATTCATCTTCTCTGGTTCTTTCGCTAAAGTCACGTAGAATGAGAATAAAATAATAAATTAATAAAATAAAACAACACGATAAAATTCTCACTGTGAAAATTCTCACTGTGAGAATTTAATTGTGTTATTATATTTTATTATTTTATTCTCATTCTACGTGGCTCCAAATCAAGTTTATTGCAGTCCCGTTGTGCTATTTTGTGTTGCACAAGTTCTGTTTTTACTCCTTTATTGAAGTAACTAACGGTGCAATATACAATTTAGAACTGCGGTGGCGAGGAGATGTTACTGTAACTACCTCCCCTGGTTTATAGGAGGTCGTGGGTTCGATCGCGACCCTGTCGCTTGTTTCATGTTTGGAGTTTGTGTGTTCTCTCTCCCCATGGGCGTGTGGATTTGTCTCCGAGTTCTACCGCTTTTTTTCCCCCCCTCCACATTTAGAAACGACATCGTTCGCTCAAGCGTATTTGGCTGCTAAACATTTCCACACGCTGATGATGATGGTGATGAGCCACTTCGTTTGAGCTGTCATTTGTGATAGCCAGGTCGCTTCTGAAAAAGAGCTATATGCTAGCTCAGTCTGCCTTACCTGCTAGAACATAAAATAAAATTAAAAACAACAGTTTTAAATTTTGATTTAAAGCTTTCGTGACTGCAGTAATTCATATTCTTAGTTCTTTCGGTAAAGTCGCGTTGTTTTATATATATATTTTATTATTTTTGTTGTTTCCCTTCAACGTGACTTTACCGAAAGAACTAAGAATAACAACTGTTTTGGTTTGTACGTAGGTGTTCGCGACAGATAGAAGTCCTCTACTTCGACAGCCGGCTCCACAACGACTTTTTTTTTGTGCGGCACCTCCATAGTGGCCCACCATCGTGCCGGTCATCTTCAGCTGCTGGCTACGAGAGCGGACAAATAATCCGCGGTGAACCTTGTCTTTGGCAGCATCATCAAAATGATGGTCCCCAAAAAAAATAGCGATTGGTTTTACCCCCTTTCGGGCAAAACAAAATTTAGGCGTCAAGATGTTCAAACACCGAACACTGGATACCGTTTTCGTGCAAGGCATCAAGTCTGCATTTTAGCACGCGCTACTTGTGGCAAAAAACGCGCAAACTAAACGTGAGCTTGCGAGCAAAGACGGTCCCTCCCGGTGACCACGACCTCTTCGGTGGTGGTGGGGGGTGGGGTGTGGGGTTGTTGCCCTCTCGCTGACTCGTGCCGTGTGCTCCCGTCCCTTCGCCAGGCCCAACATGTGCGCCGTGCAGGAGATGGAGGGCACGGAGAAGCGATACTTCTCCTCCTGCAAGACCTGGTACCGCAAGAAGATCTGCAACGTGCCCACGTAAGCGGCTTCGGTGGGGCGACGCGGAGTGCGAACGCTGCGGCGACACGTTAAATAGCCCGCCGCGTCCGCACATACAGGATGCGTGGTCATTAGTTGGCGCGCAGAGTTTTGGGCGTTTACGATTGTGAACGCGTGGATTGATTTGCATCGCAAATATGATCCTAAAAAAAAACAACCGTATCCAGTCTGAATGTAACGCGCTGCAGGCTCTCGCAAACCCGAATTACGATTCAGAATTGATTTGTGGGTCACATCCCCGCAAGGTAAAATGTGTTTGTTAAGGGGTGGCATGGTGGTGAGATGTTAACTCCCTCGCCTGGTATGCAGAAGGTACGTGGGTTCGATTCCAACTGTTGATGCCTGTTGTATATTTGGCGTTTGCATGTTCTCCCCGTGGTTTCATGGTTTTTTTCTCAAGGCCCTCCGGGGTTTCTCTCCACATTTAGAAACATGCATTTAGAGTATTAAGCTGCTCGAAATTTCCATGTGATAAGCCACTTCGTTGAGCCATCATTTGTGGCCAGGTCGTTTCTGATAAAGAGCTATGTGGCTCAGTGGGCCTAACCTCGTAAAAAAAGTTTAGTTTTTTTAGTTTATATTCGGAGCGTGTATGTCGCGCTCACTCCCCGTGGTCACGTTGACGTTTGGAGGTCACGTTGGGGTTTGGAGGTCACGTTGGAGTTTGGAGGTCACGTTGGCGTTTGGAGGTCACGTTGGAGTTTGGAGGTCACCTTGGGGTTTGGAGGTCACGTTGGAGTTTGGAGGTCACGTTGGGGTTTGGAGGTCACGTTGGGGTTTGGAGGTCACGTTGGAGTTTGGAGGTCACCTTGGGGTTTGGAGGTCACGTTGGAGTTTGGAGGTCACGTTGGAGTTTGGAGGTCACGTTGGAGTTTGGAGGTCACGTTGTGTTTTGGAGGTCACGTTGGGGTTTGGAGGTCACGTTGGGGTTTGGAGGTCACGTTGGGGTTTGGAGGTCACGTTGGAGTTTGGAGGTCACGTTGGAGTTTGGAGGTCACGTTGGAGTTTGGAGGTGAGGGATTCGGGGAGGGGTGGTGGGGGGGCGGTTGAAGAAAGAGGGGCAAGAGACGAGTCGTCACGTGACAATAATGAATGGATGAGGTTCTAAGGTAGCGGCTGGAGTGAGGAAGTTTTGAATTTGGTGGATGTGTGCGGATGTTGAGCGCGCGATGGAGATGTGAGGTGCTGCCAAGTTGAGACGTGATGATGAGAGACAGAGAGAGAGAGACACGCACAATCCAACTATACAGCAGGAGTCAGGGTCAGGATGGAACCCCACGACCTCCTGTATACCAGGCGAGGTAGTTAACATCTCCTAGCCACCGTGATGATGATGAGAGAGAGAGACACGCAAACTCCAAATATACAGCAGGCGTCAGGGTCGGGATCGAACCCATGATCTCCTGTACACCAGGCGAGGTAGTTAACATCTCCTAGCCACCGTGATGATGATGAGAGAGAGACACGCAAACTCCAAATATACAGCAGGCGTCAGGGTCTGGATCGAACCCATGATCTCCTGTACACCAGGCGAGGTAGTTTACATCTCATAGCCACCGTGATGATGATGAGAGAGAGAGAGAGAGAGACACGCACACTCCAAATATACAGCAGGCGTCAGGGTCAAGATCGAACGCCACGACCTCCTGTATACCAGGCGAGGTAGTTAACATCTCCTAGCCACCGCGGTGGCGAGCTCCTCACTGCCTTCAGTGCTCGACTGCACCCATTTATGGCTTCAGCTCACGACAGCTCGGCTAATTGGTTTCATTGTGATTGAAGTCAAACGGCGTTCTCCGTCAATGGCGAATGGCAAGTTCGTCGAGATGAAGTATTTGTTGAGTAAATTTTTCATGATGTGTCGATGGCCCAGCGATAACCGGTGATGAATTGTTTCGCGAAATCCTGCTTCGTCAAATCGATCGACGGCATTTTCGGTGGCTACCTCGTTATTCGCGAGCGATATGTTTTCTGGAAGCTCGTGAATGGCAAGTTACACGGATAATGATATTGGCCAACGTAAACCTAGCTTGCGTCTCATCACTTTATCTCTCGTCTCTTTATCTCTCGTCACTTTATCTCTCGTCACTTTATCTCTCGTCACTTTATCTCTCATCACTTTATCTCTCGTCACTTTATCTCTCGTCATTTTATCTCTCGTCACTTTATCTCTCACCACTTTATCTCTCATCACTTCATCTCTCATCACTTTATCTCTCGTCACTTTATCTCTCGTCACTTTATCTCTCATCACTTCATCTCTCATCACTTTATCTCTCATCACTTTATCTCTCATCACTTTATCTCTCGTCACTTTATCTCTCGTCACTTTATCTCTCGTCACTTTATCTCTCATCACTTTATCTCTCATCACTTTATCTCTCATCACTTTATCTCTCGTCACTTTATCTCTCGTAGCTTTATCTCTCGTCACTTTATATTTCATCACTTTATCTCTCTCGTCACTTTATCTCTCGTCACTTTATCTCTCATCACTTTATCTCTCGTCACTTTATCTCTCGTCAATTTATCTCTCATCACTTTATCTCTCGTCACTTTATCTCTCATCACTTTATCTCTCGTCACTTTATCTCTCGTCAATTTATCTCTCATCACTTTATCTCTCGTCAATTTATCTCTCATCACTTTAACTCTCATCACTTTATCTCTCGTCACTTTATCTCTCATCATTTATCTCTCGTCACTTTATCTCTCATCACTTTATATCTCGTCACTTTATCTCTCTTCACTTGATCTCATCACCCACGTTCTCTCTCTCTCTCTCTCGACGCAGTCAGTCGTGCAGAGTTCCAGATGCGATTCGCGCACAGCCAAAACAAACAAAAAATCGCGACTCCATCGAGTTCGTGAATCGCGAGGCAACACCGCAGCACGTAGCCCAAGCGGCGTAGAGCGGTGGTTGGCGTGCGTCCTCATTGTGCAATGGGCGGCATTGGCGATGGCAGAAGTCAGCCCACGCTGTCCGTCACGAGGCGCGCGCACGCTTACCAAAGGCAAACGCCTTCAATAGACTGTTGGGTCAAGCGCTGTTCGCGAGCGCCTATAGCGGCCCACAAGGGGCAGTGGGTGACCAGCACCGCCTTTGTCTCCCCGATGCTTGTGTTTGCGCACTCACCAGGTACCCATTTACGTGTTTTTTTTACCCTCGCTCTTCGCGATCTGCCCCCGAACGGGCCCTTGTATGTACGTAAGTAAGTATGTATGCTGAACTTCTTTGGCAACGTACCTAGCCAACCGCGCCAATTGGGGGTGCCCTGGTGCGCTTGCACCCAATAGTTGGAGCCAGGATTTTCAGGTAGTAAGTAAGGAGTTGTTAGTAAGTAAGGAGTTGTTAGTAAGGAGTTGTTAGTAAGTAAGGAGTTGTTAGTGAGTAAGGAGTTGTTAGTGAGTAAGGAGTTGTTAGTGAGTAAGGAGTTGTTAGTGAGTAAGGAGTTGTTAGTAAAGAGTTGTTAGTAAGTAAGGAGTTGTGAGTAATAAGTAAGGACTTGTCCCTTGCTATTTATCCGACGCGTGTGCGGCGATGGCCCGGCCATCGATCGAGGGTCGAATTGCTAACCGCGTTGTGTGATCGCCATCGCGCTCGCTGAAGGTGTCGATGCCTTCAGGGAAGTCGTGGACTCTGTAGACGCAACTGCGCACAATTCTGTGAGTCACTTATAACCGCTTTGCCGTTACTTATTGCCAATTATGGACTCAGACTATTGTCCTATCATCTCATAAAGTCCCTGGCACGTAATAATATGCTACACAGTGGCAGTGGGGGTCGCAAAATGCCGATTGATTACTAATAAACCCCAATGATCCGATCGAAATTAGGGATTTCGATCGGATCATTGGGGGGCGGGCACGTGCCACTCCACCCCCTCCTCCCCCCCTCCAGTGGTTGCACCGCCTGCACACGCGATAATTACTACCTTGCCTGGTATACAGTACATGATGAGGTCGTGGCTTTGATCCCGACTCTGACGCCTGCATTATTCGGGTTTGCATGTCTCTCTTCCCGTGATCGTGTGGAATTTTCCCCTGGTCCTTCGGTTTTCCCCTCCACACTTAGAATGAACATCACGCGTTTTAGAGTATTTGACCTGGTGGTCTGCTCAGAGATGCGAGCCGTTAATATCCGCATTCGGTTAGCAATCCACTTGGTCTGTTTTTATTTCTGTTTTCTTTCCTACAGATATATATTCGTCTAAAAATATCCCCACAAGACGGCGCTTTAATCAACAATTCCACGCCAAGTTGTGTTGAAACCCACCGCAGCTCCCCCTCTCCGCGTTGCCCCTTCCATACACGCCCAGAGTGAGATCCCGGTTACGGTTTAAAAAGCCAGCGAGTCCAAGTCGCCGCCTTCACGCCATTGGATAAACGTGGCCCTCGTTTTCATCACCTTCAGCTTCAACCCCCTAACCCTTGCCCGGCAAACCAAGCCCAAAAAAAAACCTGGAATTCCTTTCCATAATTTAAGATCATCCCCCCTTTCTCCTTTCTCTTTGGCACGTGCAGGTCGCGAAAAAAATCCCCGCGTGCGATTCGACGTTCAAGTGTTCAATGTTACCTGCCAGCGTTAATTGAACGCTTGCATGAATTAAATTGCAGTTGAGTCCTGCTGCTCGGCGCCTGCAATGTTCTATGATTTATTGACTGCTTTATATTAAAAAAGTATTTCTTTCACCCAGGCCCTCCGCGGATCGTTCTTGTAAATGAGGCGGAACGTTTCTTACCTGCGTCAACAAAACGTCAACAAATCAATTGCAAAAACCACCCAGCTCTTATACATGTGACGAACAAAAATTTTTTACCTCAAGGGTATTCTCTCATCAACTGTGCCTTGGATCCTTCCCTACCGACAATCTGGGTGACGTCCCGCTAACCGGTCCTTCCCTCCCACCGCCCTGCACACAGTGTCTCACCTGATCACATCCACAGCACTTTCCTGCCACGTTGCGTTCCGAACTTTC